CTTCGAGCTATATGGCCGGCCCACTGCCACTTCAGCTTACTAATTCGTTGGGCTATGTCGGTTATTCTGGTTCTACTGCGGATATCCTCATTCCTAAGTTTATCACGCAGAGAAACTCCGAGCATAGCCCTCTCCACAGCTCGCTGAGCGACCTTGAGCTTCCTCATACGGCCAGCAGTGAAGGACCACGTCTCAGTTCCGTAAGTCATCACTGGCAACACGCACTGGTTGTACAATTTCGTTTTAAGGTTTTGAGGTATGTCTGACGAGAAGATGTGTCGTAGCTTCCCGAACGCTGCCCAGCCGAGTTGAATCCGTCGATTGACCTCTCGGTCGAAGTTGGACTTACCTAGTCGGACTATTTGTCCCAGGTAAACATACTCGTCAACAACTTCGAGCTTAGTGCTCCCAACAACTACCGGCATAGGTGTGACATGGACATTAAACATAATCTTTGTTTTGTCCATGTTCATCTTAAGACCTATCCGTTGGGAAACACTATTGAGGTCATTGAGCATAGTGCTTAGGCCCTCCAGCGATTCTGCCTAAAGGACTATATCGTCGGCAAATCGAAGGTGAGTGATGTACTCGCCATTGATGTTGATACCGTACCCTTTCCAGTCCAGAAGCTTGAAAACGTCTTCCAATGCAGCGGTAAAGAGTTTCGGGGATATGACGTCACCCTGTCTTACACCTCTCTGCAATTGGATAGGTTTCGTACTCTGGTTCTGTACTCGGATAGCCATCGTAGCCCTACTGTACAAGCACTTCAACACTTCGATATACCGACAGTCAACTTGGCACCGCTGAAGGGACTGCAGTACCGCCCAAATTTCGACGGAATCAAAGGCTTTCTCATAGTCCACATACGCCAGACATAGTGGCAAATTGTACTCTTCGGACTTCTGTACAACTTGCCGAAGGGTATGTATGTGGTCTATGGTGCTAAAGCCCTTTCGGAAACCGGCTTGTTCGGGAGGCTGGAAGTCGTGAAGTCTGCGCGCGAGACGATTCGTAATGACTCTCGAAAACAGCACGTAGACGCGGCTCAGAATTTATATATTATTATTTATTATATATTATATTATTATAGAATTATTATAACGTGTTTTCTGATATATATCTTTCTCTGAATGTTTGCATGTTTTTTTGGTCTTTTTACAGTATCTTTAATACAATATTACGCTATTATCTTATAAAATTGTAAACTCTCGATAACATAGATATAAACCTTAGTGGTTTCTTATATGCTATCACTATAAATATTTGTAATGCTTGTTGATGTGATAAATAAAGGAAAAAAAAATACATAATACATAATTGAGAGTTTTTAGATTATTGTATCTCTATTATATATTTGCATACTATAAATGTATATTTCTGGCATGGCTCCAGGGCTTTTGTACCATAGTGACATTCTCAGAAGGGCTAGAACCCAGAGCCGTAAATCTAGTAAAGAAAACAGTGACATTTTATTTTAGCTAGTGTTGGCATAACATTAAATGGAATTGTTACATAGTACTATGATTGAGATAATGTATTATTGTAGGAAATTCTTTGTAAGAGACTTATTCTCAGCCATATCACTTTTATTTTTGTTATTACTGATAGTACAGTTATTACTAATAATAACTTAATATAAAAACATTTTGTGTGTTGTGTTGGTAATGTTACAAAGTGTATACGAAAATAGTATGAATATACTAAATGGCAACATTTGAATAGAGTAAAATGATATAAGTCATTTGATATTCCCAAAAATGTTTGTTTTTTTCTGTGGCTTTAATTAAAATACATTTTTATTTGAAAAATGATAGAAAAATAATAAAACTCATTTTATATATAACTTATTTCTAGACGCTATAATTTTTGTCAACTATTTTTCTGCCATTGCTCTTTGTGACATTCCGTGGTATCTCAAAACTAGGTCGATTTACAAATAATAATTATTTATTGTTATTGTCATACTATTTCTGTATAAAGATAATTATTTATTTATTTAAAACTTTTTACTTAATTACGAACTAAATGTACAAACGACGGACTTGTCGCCATATGACATTTTTACCAACCATTAGCTGCTAGTAAATCTATTATATTAAATTAATCATCATCATCATCATCATTACAGCCCTTCACAAGTCCACTGCTGAACATAGGCCTCCCCCAAAGAATGCCACAAAGCACGGTCCTGAGCCACCTGCATCCATCGACTTCCTGCATGTCTTACCAGGTCGTCACTCCATCTCGTGGGGGGACGCCCTACACTTCGCCTACCGGTACGAGGCTGCCACTCGAGAACCTTTCTTCCCCATCGGTTGTCGGTTCTTCGAGCTATATGGCCGGCCCACTGCCACTTCAGCTTACTAATCCGTTGGGCTATGTCGGTTACTCTAGTTCTACTGCGGATATCCTCATTCCTAAGTTTATCACGCAGAGAAACTCCGAGCATAGCCCTCTCCATAGCTCGCTGAGCGACCTTGAGCTTCCTCATACGGCCAGCAGTGAAGGACCACGTCTCAGTTCCATAAGTCATCACTGGCAACACGCACTGGTTGTACAATTTCGTTTTCAGGTTTTGAGGTATGTCTGACGAGAAGATGTGTCGTAGCTTCCCGAACGCTGCCCAGCCGAGTTGAATCCGTCGATTGACCTCTCGGTCGAAGTTGGACTTACCTAGTCGGACCATTTGTCCCAGGTAAACATACTCGTCAACAACTTCGAGCTTAGTGCTCCCAACAACTACCGGCATAGGTGTGACATGGACATTGAACATGATCTTTGTTTTGTCCATGTTCATCTTAAGACATATCCGTTGGGAAACACTATCGAGGTCATTGAGCATAGTGCTTAGGTCCTCCAGCGATTCTGCCATAAGGACTATATCGTCGGCAAATCGAAGGTGAGTGATGTACTCGCCATTGATGTTGATACCGTATCCTTTCCAGTCCAGAAGCTTGAAAACGTCTTCCAATGCAGCGGTGAAGAGTTTCGGGGATATGACGTCACCCTGTCTTACACCTCTCTGCAATTGGATAGGTTTCGTACTCTGGTTCTGTACTCGGATAGCCATCGTAGCCCTACTGTACAAGCACTTCAACACTTCGATATACCGACAGTCAACTTGGCACCGCTGAAGGGACTGCAGCACCGCCCAAATTTCGACGGAATCAAAGGCTTTCTCATAGTCCACATACGCCAGACATAGTGGCAAATTGTACTCTTCGGACTTCTGTACAATTTGCCGAAGGGTATGTATGTGGTCTATGGTGCTAAAGCCCTTTCGGAAACCGGCTTGTTCGGAAGGCTGGAAGTCGTCAAGTCTGCGCGCGAAACGATTCGTAATAACTCTCGAAAACAGCACGTAGACGCGGCTCAGAAGGGAAATCGGTCTGTAGTTCTTCAAGAGAGCGTTGTCACCTTTCTTGAAGAACAAGACCACCGCACTTCTGCTCCACGCCTCCGGTGTAATGCCACCATGGAGGACGGAATTAAAGAGCTTCTGAAGGACTTCAAGTACCGGTCTTCCACCCGCTTTCAGAAGCTCCGCTGTAATTCCATCCTCGCCTGGGGCCTTACCGTTTTTAAGGTGCTGGAGAGCCATTCTAATCTCGCTCAGACTGACGTCCGGGATATCTTCGGAATAGTGTCGGATGAGACTCGCTCTTGGATCGTTACTCACACTTGCGTGTGGCTCCAACGATGACGTGTACAGCTGCCCATAGAACCTCTCAATCTCACTCAAAATCTCAGGTGTCCCGGAAACGATGCTGCCACATCCTGTCTTCAGCTTTGACAGGTGGCTCTTTCTGGCAGACAGATCTCTGGCAAAGACTTTGGAGCCTTGGTTCCGCTCGATCGCTTCTTCAATACGAGCTGTATTGAAGTTGCGTAAGTCCCGCCGCATGCATTTGGAGATCTGTCTGTTCAGATGCCTGTATGCTGTCAAGTCTGTTGAAGAATGTAGCTTCATCTCCCGTCTAACAGCCATGAGATTAAGAGTGTGATCGGAGAGTTTTTGTGTTCTTCTGCGGCGGGTCTTGCAGAACTTAGCTCCGACCGCATGGACAGTTTCCACGAGCTTGTCATTCATATCGTCCACTTCATTGCAGTCTTCTAGGCACTGAAAACGGTTTTGTAACTCGAGCTGAAAGGTTTCGGGACTTTGGAACAGAGCACGAGGGGGACGGAGCGTTGACTTCATTAGACGAGACCTCTCCAACTTAACGTTTAGGTTCAGTGTGCCTCTAACCATTCGGTGATCGCTACCAGTTTTCACCCTCGCGATCACGGAGACATCACTGAACAGTTGTCGTCTGGTCGTCATAATGAAGTCAATCTCATTTTTTGTCGAACCGTCGGGGCTCGACCAGGTCCACTTCCTGTGGGGCCGCTTCTGGAAAAATTAAATTAATCAATCATACATATTTATAATATCATATTTGGATAGGGTGTATTATATGTACCTAAATATTCACTTAGTTCTTCTAAAGTTGTAATGTTTTTGCATATGATCCATTTTTCCATAAACCGAATACAGAATGTACCATAAAATTACATTGGAATATGTTATTGACATTGCAAACGTAACTTAGCTAATTAACGCACAACTACAACATCTAAGTCATAAAAGTTTTGATTTATATATTACAATACAAGTTAAATATCATATAATTTTCTACCGAATTCAAAAAGGAGGAGGTACTCAATTCGACTGTACGTGCCTTTTTTCTTTTTACTTCATAACTTTTGTCTAGGTGTACCGATTTCGATGATTATTTTTTATTTGAAAGCTTGTGCTTCTTATGCAATCCCATATAAATTATCAAGGTCTGACCAGTAGTTTTTGAGTTATATAAATTATATTGAAGTCGTTTGTGCAAATTTTTAAATTATTACACTACTATATGATAGATGCTACAAAATCTTTTAAACTATTTATTTTAACTATAAATAGTTTAAAAGATTTTGTAGCAATAAATGACTTAGAATTTCTCTAGGTTCACATATCGGGCCACCCGGGTCGGCACTATTGTCCGCGTATGATGAGTATGAACAAGCCGACCTTCCAGGCCATACGCACACACTCGCCTTGTTCGCCGGCGCTCGTTTTCGTCTCCAGTCGTCGACAGACCAGGTGAGAACTATTCTATATTCTTTCCGCAGCCAATTTACAGTGCTTGCACCAATCAATCAATCAATTTATTTATTCGTCTATTTATCTGTTGCCTTCTTTGTTTAAAGTGGGCTGCAGTAGCTTACTATCAGGTGGACTGTTGACCCGTAAACAAGCTAATAGTTAAAATATTAATTAAAAACCCGACCGCGTAAAACAGTTTACTGAGAAGTAAATAGTTATATTTTTCTCGCTAATAAGACCTATTATACGATTATATAAGAATATTTAAGTAAGAATGGCTGCTAAATTATTTTAAGTAGTTATAGATCCTAAGTGGTCATTCAAAATGAAAAATGATTAGATAAACCTAAAGATGATTTTAAAACACCTATTCAGTGATACCCCACTTGACATATACCAAACCCCATACGACACCAAAACACGACAGTATTACGTCAGCAGTTACCAGCCTCAATGATGATCTAAAATTAATAGAGCTTTGGTCAAAGTCTCATGGCCTACTACTGAATCCTAAAAAAAGTACTTGTATAATTATGGGTACACGTCATCAGGTTGCATCAATCAAAAAAAATGATCCAACTATCATGATCAGTGGCACAACTATTCCACGAGATGATTGCATTCGTAACTTAGGCCTTAACATGGATGAAGGTTTAACGTTTGAACAACACGTACAGCAAAAAATAGGAAAATGTTTTGGATCTTTAAAATCTATTTACAAAATTCGTTCTTTTCTAAAACCAAATATCCGGCTCCGTCTTTGCAACAGTCTGGTCTTGTCACATTTACATTATTGCGACTTGGTATATGGTCCTTGCCTTTCACAGAAAACTATAGGAAGAATACAAAGGGTTCAAAATGCGTGTATGCGTTATTGTTTTGACATACCTAAGACTAACCACATAACTCCTTATCTCCTCAAAAATAATATTTTAAATATGGGTTACACCAGAAAACTAAAATATGCTTGTTTCGTACACTCGTTAAATAATTCGCAATCTCCTCATTATTTATATGAAAAATTATCTCCAAAATGTCAAATAACACGTTTGAGACAAAGGGGTAAACTATTATATATACTTCCAACTTATAAGCGTGTTAAAGCGAAGGGATGTTTCAAATATGCTGCCTCCAAAATTTGGAATAATATACCTCCTCCTTTACAGGAGATCGTGAATATAAAATCATTTAGAAAGAAATGCAAAGTATGGTTACTTGAACAACAAAAATTGGAGGCAGGTATTAAGTTTCATATTATATAAATTTGCCGATTTACATAGCACATATGTTTATACATTTTTGTCTTTTCTTTACGTTGTTTCACGTCAATGCCAAGATAAGGTTAAGATACTGCGTTTTTTAAAAGTTGGCTGTGGCAGAATACCAGCGGTGACCTCAAATCACCACATAGCTGAGTCACAGGCCAGTTTGTCTCATTTTTTTAATGTATGTTTTCACTTAAGTATGTTGCTAGATAAGTTTGTGATAATTTTTTTGTACAATTTTAACTATCATGTGTGAATTGAGACAAATAAAACTCTTTATTATTATTATTATTATTATATAGTTCGTCGACATTAATTGTTTTCTCACAATGGCGTCATCGACATGACAGTAATCTAAATTCAATATGGCGTCAAGTTGTCGCCATATTGAATTTCGATTACTGTCATATCTTCAGTGACACTCACAAGATTAAAGAAAATCGATTGATGTAATATTCATCATAATCGGCCCATGCGTTTGGTCTCTAGAGCGCTACTGGTAAAAATACTTTCATTCAGTGTGTATTAATCGCGTAAATGGTAGTGTAAAATCCCGATTTGGAGGCAAAATACGCTTTGGATTGCTGTGCCAACTTGGGTAAACTCGTGTACATCTTTATTTAAACTGGTGTCTTGACTGGGATGCGGACTCACGAAACATTTTCAAACATGGTAGTGCCATGCTGCAGCTATATTAGTAGTATACTTGTAGCACGAATGGGTCGCCTGGACTGGGGAAGGAGGAAGGCCAGTGGGCAACTGGAGACCCCTTTTTACTGGAAACGAGGCATTTCATCTCAGTCCTCACGGGTGACAACGCATCTGCATTTTGATTCGTAATCAAGGATAGATGTAGACGTCTATGAGCCGCGGCAACAACTTACCGTGGTCTGTGTGCTCGTTTGTCACCCTTATAAAACATAACCAGAAGGCTATAGCCCACTTCACACATAATAGTATTTTATAAAAGTAATCAAAAACCTTGAAATACACACGTCTTTTGTGTCAACGAACACCACATTATAAGGTTTATATTCTGATCACTGTAGTAGACCAAAAATAAAAATTTGACAAACGAAATTTTAATTTTAAATGGCGAAAAAAGAAAAAAATTTAATCCAATCAACTTTTTTTTTTAGAATGTGGTGATAAACGAGCACACAGTCCATCTGATTGATGATAAGTGGTTGCTGAGACCCATAGACATTTACATCTATCCTCAATAAAGAATCAAAATGCAGTTGCGTTGTCAACCGTGAGGACTAAGATGAAACGGTTCTCTACACTCACCATAAGAAACACAGCAGCGTTAAGCTGCTATTTTACGCTGCTATACTGACATCCAATAATTTTCAAACTTTTAGATTAACGGCTCTCGATCTCATCGCATATTTGGCAGCGGAGGATAATCCAAAACAGTGGCTGCTCATGCAAGAGTCCGAAATGGAACAGATATTGTCTAATATCCGAGAGTCGAACCTTAAACTGACTTTAGCCTTCGGAATAGGCATCCATCACGCCGGCTTGCATGAGAAAGATCGGACCACTGTGGAAGAACTGTTTGTTAACCAGAAAATTCAGGTTTGTTATTTTTTTTATTTATTTTCACGCCTTTATTACAAAACGGGTAGCCAGAGTATTTAACCGTTACCATCTGGGGGCACGGCAGTGCCCCCGCCAAGTCGAGCAAAAAAGTGGCACGGCCGTACCATCCTTTTCTCGAAGCAGTTCAGGCCATTTTTGAAACCCTATAACTTCGTTGTGGATAAAACTAGAAGACTGAATTTTCACTAACCAAGTAGGCATTGTATAAACTCGGTATATTTCAAATTTCATTAAATTTGAACCAGTAGTTTAAGAATTATAACTAGTCAAAGTTTCTTAATTTTGTCACTCACTGACTGACCGATCATCAAAACTCTAAGACACTTCTAGCAGACATAGAAGATTCAAATTTGGAATACAATTATAGTTTAATATATAAATCAAGGTGTTACGGCCTACAGCTGCCGTACAAATGTCGTCTTGGCTGGGGCCCATAGCAGCTTCCTCGACGGGCAGACGCAGGTCGGGCCCGATTGGCCACATGGAAGAATGTCCTATAATACTAAACCATATGGGAGAATGTTAGGAAGATATAGTACTTACCTGTTTCCGACTCTTAGATCGCCCCAAGGCTCGGTCAGGCCGTAAGTGGGTGTGAGGTGCATGGCAAGTAGTGTTTAGTGATGTGTAAATGTCTGAGACCTGGACCAGCTTAGGCGACTAGCAGCGGCCGAGTTCTAGACTGCCCCAAAATGCTGCATCGCTCCAGCAGGCTCCACCGCTGGACCATTTCTTTCTTCATTGTCACTATTTCAGTCTATTAGCTTCATTGTACATTTAACTAACTTAAACTCGCCTAATTCCACATTCATCGTAGAATCGAACACGTGATACCTGACACAGTAAGGACAGTAGTTCAAAATTCGACATTTAATGTCCCGGATTCACTTATCACAAAATTATAAATAGGGAATTAAAGCGATCTCTTAATGAGTCATACTGTTCAGCGTTAAACACAACTAAGTTCATTCATTCGACACCAAAACACGACACGTAAACTAACAAGCCAACCAACACACAAAAAAGGGCACTTAACGCGACGGCACAATTATAATGATTTCCTGACAATCAACCGGAAGAAGCTCTCGTACAAGGAATGCGCGGTTCGAATCCTAGACCGTATATCTACTCGACGCGCGCGTGCACAATTCCGCATCCCCGAACAAGTTAAATATTGCAAAATTCACATATCCACGTAAGGAAGTAACACGCACTTAATCTAACTATCTGGACCCTACAACGGTCGCGTGAACTTCGGCCGCGATAACGAGCTACCCGGTTTCCCCGCATCGCGGCCAGTGGGCAACTACTCTCCTTCGCCCACGCGTCGAGCCACACAAGCCGCACACCGCCGCCCCACCTGGCGGCATTTTTTCACCTACATACTATCGGGTGACGCGACAGCTCGAACGCAATTGGATGGCATTTAATATGACCAAATTCGGGCATAAACACAAGGAAAAATTAAAATATTTTGCAATTTCGGTCCAGTTTTTTTTTACACCAACTGCATAAATAACTTTGTAATCCCATATAAATATATAGGATTACAAAGTTACACAGTTACATAGATTGACTTGGCCATCGTATGAAAACGCAATGTATCTCTCAAGTAATACATATTATATTAAATTAGATTGTTTAGTGCGATTGCCAAGTCAATTTATTTATTTAAAATATAAAAGATTTTTAGTATTGATGTGGTCACCATAAGATTTTGTTAGGTTAGGTAATTACGTAATAATTTAAGACAGAAGGACCCTTAAGTAGGGACTGAATAAATTAACCGACTTGGTATTACATGGATCTCACAACTTTTTACGGTAGAACTGAGTTACGAGACTTGGCTTTTTTTTACAAGTTATGTTTTTGATGGCATTACATTTACAGTATATCAAAAGTCCACTGCTGAACGTAGGCTTCCCCAATAAATTGCTTCATGGGTCATACTAAACTTGTCATAGCTGCCACACTTGGCAGGCGGGTTGGCAACCGCAGTTCTCTTTTATTTTTTATTGTTATTAGGAACATGCTGCTGCCTATCTCCGTGTTTGTTTTACCCTGTGGCCTATTATGGCGTAGCGTGCCTTAGATGGGCCCTGTATCAAAATTTGTTTGGGGGCCCCAATGAAGAGTAAAGATTTCATAAAAGGATTTGATCCTTTTATGAAATCTTTACTCTACAAGCCTTTTTGCTTTGAATTAAAATTATTATATATTATTGATTATTCGTTATTCATCATCATTACAGCCCTTCACAAGTCCACTGCTGAACATAGGCCTCCCCCAAAGAATGCCACAAAGTACGGTCCTGAGCCACCTGCATCCATCGACTTCCTGCATATCTTACCAGGTCGTCACTCCATCTAGTGGGGGGACGCCCTACACTTCGTCCGCCGGTAAAAGGCCGCCACTCGAGAAACTTTTTTCCCCATCGGTTGTCGGTTCTTCGAGCTATATGGTCGGCCCATTACCACTTCAGCTTACTAATCCATTGGGCTATGTCGGTCACTCTGGTTCTACTGCGGATATCCTCATTTCTAAGTTTATCACGCAGAGAAACTCTGAGCATAGCCCTCTCCATAGCTCGCTGAGCGACCTTGAGCTTCCTCATCCGGCCAGCAGTGAAGGACCACGTCTCAGTTCCATAGGTCATCACTGGCAACACGCACTGGTTGTACAGTCTCGTCTTCAAGTTTTGAGGTATACCTGACGAGAAGATGTGCCGTAATTTCCCAAACGCTGACAACAACTGAGTGGAATCCGTCGATTGACCTCTCGGTCGAAGTTGGACTTACTTAGTCGGACTATTTGTCCCAGGTAAACATACTCGTCAACACCTTCGAGCTTAGTGCTCCCAACAACTACCGGCATAGGTGTGACATGGACATTAAACATGATCTTTGTTTTGTCCATGTTCATCTTAAGACCTATCCGTTGGGAGATACTATTGAGGTCATTGAGCATAGTGCTTAGGTCCTCCAGCGATTCTGCCATAAGGACTATATCGTCGGCAAATGGAAGGTGAGTGATGTACTTGCCATTGATGTTAATACCTTATCCTTTCCAGTCCAGAAGCTTGAAAACGTCTTCCAATGCAGCGGTGAAGAGTTTCGGGGATATAACGTCACCCTGTCTTACACCTCTCTGCAATTGAATAGGTTTCGTACTCTGGTTCTGTACTCGGATAGCCATCGTAGCCCTACTATATAAGCACTTCAGCACTTCGATATACCGACAGTCAACTTGGCACCGCTGAAGGGACTGCAGCACCGCCCAAATTTCGATGGAATCAAAGGCTTTCTCATAATTCATATACGCCAGATATAGTGGCAAATTGTACTCCTCGGACTTCTGTACAATTTGCCGAAGGGTATGTATGTGGTCTATGTATGTCTGCGCGCGATACGATTCGTAATGACTCTCGAAAACAGCACGTAGACGCGGCTCAGAAGGGAAATCGGTCTGTAGTTCTTCAAGAGAGCGTTGTCACCTTTCTTGAAGAACAAGACCACCGCACTTCTGCTCCACGCCTCCGGTGTAATGCCACCATGGAGGACGGAACTAAAGGGCTTCTAAAGGACTTCAAGTACCGGTCAACAACCCGCTTTCAGAAGCTCCGCTGTAATTCCATCCTCGCCTGGGGCCTTGCCGTTTTTAAGGTGCTGGAGAGCCATTCTAATCTCGCTCAGACTGACGTCCGGGATATCATCTGAATAGTGTCGGATAAGACTCGCTCTTGGATCGTTACTCACACTTGCCTGTGGCTCCAACGATGATGTGTACAGCTGCCCATAGAACCTCTCAATCTCACTCAAAATTTCAGGTGTCCCGGAAACGACGCTGCCACACTCGGTCTTCAGCTTCGACAGTTGGCTCTTTCTGGCAGACAGATCTCTAGCAAAGACTTTGAAGCCCTGGTTCCGCTCGATCGCTTCTTCAATACGTATTGAAGTCAGTATTGAAGTTGCGTAAGTCCCGCCGCATGCATTTGGAGATCTGTATGTTCAGTTGTCTTTATGCTGTCAAATCTACTGATAACTGCAGCTTCATATCCCGTCTAACAGCCATGAGATTAAGAGTGTAATCGGAGAGTTTTTGTGTTCTTCTGCGGCGGGTCTTACAAAACTTAGCTCCGACCGTATGGACAGTTTCCACGAGCTTGTCATTCATATCGTCTACTGCATTGTAGGTCGAGCTGAAAAGTTTCGGGACTTTGGATTAGAGCACGAGGGGGACGAATCGTTGACTTCATTAGACGTGATCTCTCCAACTTAACGTTTAGGTTCAGTGTGCCTCTCACCATTCGGTGATCGCTGCCGGTTTTGAAGGGTGTGGTGCTGTTTGTTTTGGAGGGTGAACCCTCGCGATCACTGAGACATCACTGAACAGTTGTCGTCTGGTCGTCATAATGAAGTCAATCTCATTTCTTGTCGAACCATCGGGGCTCAACCAGGTCCACTTCCTATGGGGCCGCTTCTGGAAGAAAGAGTTCATCATAAAGAGTCCCTCTTTCTCCATGAAGTCGGCCAGCTGCTGGCCCCTTCGGTTCCGTTGCCCTATTCCGAATTTCCCTACTTTCATCTCACCGTTTTCTCTTGTACCTAGTTTTGCGTTGAAGTCTCCCATTAACACCGTATAGTGGGTTTTGGAGGAATGCATGGCTCTAGAGATATCCTCATACATTTCCTCCACCTCCTCATCGGGGTGTGCCGAAGTTGGTGCGTAAACCTGTATGACCTTCAGCGAATACCGTTTGGTGATTCTGAGTATAAGGTACGCAACCCTCGTCGACACACTCCCAATCTTTACAACGTTGTTAACGAGAGACTTGTGGATGATAAATCCGACACCTCCTTGGAACAGATGGTCGCCCTCCCGGTGATAGAACAAGTTGCCGGATTCGAGGATTACAGTGTGCTCCCCTTCTCTTCGGACCTCGGATAATCCTATGATATTCCAGCGAAACTTGCTTATCTCTTCTTCCAGCTCCAGGATCGTCTCGTCAGTCCTCAGGGTGCGTGCCTTATAAGTTGCCAGGTCGAGTCGTTTTAGGTGGCAACCGAACCTCCACCGGAGATTCTTAGTACCCCCTGTCCCGCCGTTACTATTATCGCCACTCCCCACCGTAGCCAAAAATAGCGGGGCCACTGGGAACTGGGGGCCGTCTCTTCGTTACTTTCTTGGGGGTATATTGCCATAGTTGCCACGCTTGGCGAACGGGTAGGCAACCGCAGTTTTTTTTAATGGTTTTTTGCTGTTATCAGAAACATGCTGCTGCCCAACCTCTGCCTCAGTTTCCGTCTGTCGCCTCTTACGACACCCACGGGAAGATATAGAGTAGTGATTATTCTTACCCGCCATTACACGGGGATTATTACACGGGGATATTCGTTATTGCTTACAATTAATACTCCTAGGAACTAAGCTAGCCAAACAATTAAATTCAAATATACACCTTTCTTGCCTTTTGTTCAGCGAACATAGCTGAAGACGATTCGGCGGCATTCATAGCTGAAGACGATTTCAGTTTTTCTAAATTCTATAGACGATAGTGATAGCCTTGGAATTTTTGTTTACACACGTTCGGGACCCCTGTAGCCCGGGGGCCCCGTATCATTAATACGGCTGATACGGCGGTAGCTACGCCCCTGCCTATTACAACACCCACGAGACGATATGGGGTAGTGGATATTCTTACACCGCCACTACACGTTCATTGCCATTACTAACGGACACTTCTCATAATTTTGAAATGCTACATAAACTCTTTCGAAAGAAAAAAATCTCACAGACGGTGGTCACGCGTGCAACTACTAAAATAACGTATAGTATTAAAATATCGACTTTAGGCCTTATCGATCGAGTTCAGAGCCTAATTGTAAACAAAGAAAGCTAGATATGTGTGTAATCGTGAATGATTCGTTCATTTGATCCGGGTCGCATCAAAGTATTGATGATTGCAATTACATATTTTTAACGTTCCTGATCAAACTATTGACGGAGCCTACTACCATCACACGAGTAAAGAAACCGTACCGTACCGAGGCAAAGCTTCATACAACCGCGCTATGGCAGTTACACTACTACAAACTAGAAGCGCGTGTGTGCGTAAGCACTGGCGTCTATAATACGTGTCAAATTTTATTTTTTAAAGAATTATTATTCGTAGCAAATGAAATATAAAAATGTGTAAATATGGTTTACTGTACTGTTTGTATTAACAAAAATAGGACTCAATAAGTAGTAACTAAACTATAATTTATTATATCTAATGTAGCAGATATATACCTCATACACTGAAAGAAAACGTAAAAGTACCTATATCTATAAATGATTGAATAGTTATTTTAATAATGTTTATAATTGAATAATTACGTTTATAAATTAAAAACATAGGTTCACGTTTTTAATTATAATTTCAGTCGGCAAGAGTTGTAAAACAGCTTTCGAACGAGAAGATCTCCTTTTAAAACTTTTTGATTATAAAAAAAGAAACAACATATAATCTGTGAGGATTACTTTCCAAAATCCTGTATTAAGTTTTATAAAAAAAGAACTGTAAAAGGAAATGCTTTTCCAACACTCAACTTGTCAACAATCGACGGTGCTTATTCGAGTTCCATCCAATGTGAGAATGTATCTGAAATGAATGTATGAATTGCTTGAACAAAAATATCGCGAATATTTTGATATGTGAATGTTATCTAATAGATTATTTAAAAAAAGAACTTTACATTAGATTATAATTTACCATTTAATTAATAGGCACAACAAATTGTTGAAGAACAATAAAATATTTGGAACGAGTAGTTTTTAAAAAAAATATTGTATCTTAATTATATAATAATAGCTGATAAACGTTTTGTTATTCAATTTTATCTTCTTGTGCTAACCCTACCAACCTACCAAAATAGGTAAAAATTTTGATAGCTCCTTAGAAGTTTTGCCTCTGTACGGTTTCTTTACTTATGTGCTACCATAGCCATAGAGTATAATAATGTCCGACGACAGACATTATCGAGCGGGTCTCACAGATCATAGTGTACTGAAACTCGAAGTGATCAGTCTGAGTGATCAACCCGAATGACCCGGTTCGTAAGACGAATTGACTTGAATGATTAGTTCACTAGAAATGAATGAATGACATATGTCTAATAAAAAACTGAGTGTTCTCTCCCGAATACTTAAATGCTATGTACACAGACTGGTGACGGAGCGCAGTATTGACAGTGCCAGTTTATCAGAATTTTATATGACAGTCTTTGAAAGTGCTATATCCAGCAGTAAACTTAACTTAAACTTGTTGATCAATTAAAGAGGTAATTTTGTTTTTTTTTCCTTTCAAAGGTGTTGATTTGCACAGCAACGTTAGCTTGGGGCGTGAACTTCCCCGCGCACTTGGTAGTCATCAAAGGTACCGAGTACTTCGACGGCAAACAAAAACGATACGTGGACATGCCGATCACCGATGTGCTGCAGATGATGGGCAGAGCTGGCAGACCGCAGGTAAGTACTACTCATTTGATATTAGACTAGATATGACACATCAGTAGCGTAGTAGAGCCGTAGTAGCTCAGGGGTTCAGGGGCAAGCAACCCGGCTTTGATCCCCCCAGCACCAATTAAGTGAAGAGCGGTGAAGAGAAACATCGTGAGGACACCTGAAATTTTGAGAAGAAAATTATCGAGGATATATGAATTCCGCCAACACGCACTGGAGTTACGCGGTGAACTAATCCCTTTCGGAATTTAGAGGAAGTCTGTGCCTATGGATGTACATATATATATATAAGCTGAAACTTTACTTTTTTTATAGAATAAGGGTGACAAACGAGCACACAGTACCCCTGATGGTAAATGGTTGCTATGAGCTGTGACCCATAGACATCTAATTCTATCCTCGATTACGTATCAAAATGCAGATGCGTTGTCACCCGTAAGGACTAAGATGGAATGTCTCGTTTCCAGTAAAAAGGGTTTCCGGTCTCTACATGACCTTACACATCGGCGTTCAGCTGCTGTTTTATGCTGGTATTCTGTGAGAGCGTGGTCCTACCCCGGTCGAGCCGACCCATTCGTGCTACAAATATACCTCTAATATAACTGCAGCATTGCTCTACCACGTAGACTTTTTACTTTACCTGTAGGATACGGCTTTAAGAAAATAAAGTTAATAAAAAGCTTTCGTTGCCAACTCGCCTTACCAGCGTTGCACTTATGGCAAATAACAGCCATAAGAATCAAATCAATGCAATGTAATGAAATAAGGAAAAATACGAACAAGCATCCCCTTTCATATTAAAATAACCTACATGGAGAAAAGATACGTTCGTAATACACCATTTTTAACCGAATTCAAAAAGGAGGAAGTTCTCAATTCGTCGGTATCTTTTTTTTAATTATGTTCACCGATTACTCGAAGACGCCTACTATCTAATTTGGAAAATTATTTTTTTGTTTCAATGGATATACTTCCTAGGTACTCCCATATAAATTTGATCAAGGTCTGACCAATAGTTTTTGAGTTATCCTTAATAATTTACTCGTATATTGAAGTCGGTTGCACAAAATTATAATTATAATCCGTTATGAAACATCTGTAAACTTTAAGGTGTTGGTTGCAAGTGAAATGATACTTAGTTTATCATTCTAGTGTTGTAAATAAAAAGAAAACATATTGTTTTGCTTTGCAGTATGACAACGAAGGAGTGGCTGTTGTATTGGTTCACGACCAAAAGAAGAATTTCTACAAGAAGTTCTTATATGAGCCGTTCCCGGTGGAGTCCAGTTTGCTAGAAGTGTTGGCTGATCACTTGAACGCTGAAATTGTCGCCGGTATGCCTAGAAGCTAACAGCCGTTTATAACTCAATGATTTTTAATATTTATATATTGCGTAATAGTTAGCAAGGTGCCCTGAAACTTATAATATAACATAAATTGAAAGAAAGGTAAGGCAAAATAATGGCTAAATGTTGACCTTACGTATATGCGAGCCAATAAATTGGTACCAACCGGCCTCCCAAGCGTGTCAAGTTGCCACTGGCAAGTATGGGGAATGAATATTTAAGAGCAATCTATGAACTACGTTCAGCGTATCAGTGGACTTTTTATTGGCCATGATGATGATGATGATACATAGACCACAGAAGATTTATACCGATTTAATATTGTTAACAAAATTATTGTAAGCTGTTTTTTTTTACATAAAGAAGTCTCGCTGTGTTTCTTGCCGGTTCTCCCAGGACAGAGTTTTTTTCCGAACCAGTGGTAAATTAAACAAAATAGTGACTTTCATTAAGTATCATTTATAATCTATATTGAACAAAAAGTTTCTGATTCTGTTTCGTGCTTGTTAAAATAGAGGGCGAGGTGGTATTTTTGACCTTAGTGGCGCGGAGCGACGGCAATCTATGCTACTACTACTTTTTTTTCTCAGAATAATAGTGACAAATGGACACACAGTCAACCTGATAGTAAGTGGATGCTGTGGCCCATAGACATCTACATCTATCCTGGATTAAGAATCAAAATGCAGATGCGTTGTTACCCCTGAGCCTCATTTCAAGTGAAAAGGGTCTCCGGATCTCTACACTCATCCATACGAAACACAGCAGCATTAAGCTGCTATTTTACACTGGTATTCTGTGAGAGCGTGGTCCTTCCCCGTTCGAGCCGACCCATTCGTGTTAAATAATAATATAGTTGCAGCGTGGCTCTACCACGTAAAATGACTCCACGTACAATGGCTGTTTCTTTATTTGATGACGTTATGTTATAATCCGCATAGTTAACGGTTTTCCATAACCAAAGAATAGGTTAGGAGAACCTTACAATTAAAATAAAGCACTTAATTTACAGGCACCGTTCAAACCAAGCAAGATATTCTGGACTATCTGACCTGGACTTACTTCTTCCGGCGGCTCTTAAAGAACCCGTCATACTACAAACTGGACAGTCTCGAACCGCAGGATGTCAATTATTACCTGTCAAATCTTGTTCAAACACGCCTCGATGCGTTGTTAAACGCTAATTGTGTGGAGATCGAAGAGGTTAGTGTAATTATAGTATTTCGTCTATCTTCATCATCGTCATCATTAAAAATCATTCATTAATTTCCATTCGTTATAGCCTATCAAGAGTCCATTGCTGAACATGAACCTCCCCCCATAGATTGCCTCATAGTTGGGACAGTTGCCATAGTTGTAACGTTTGGCAAGCGGCTTGGCAACCGAAATTTATTTTTTCATTTTTACTTTTTATTAGAAAGATGCTGCTGACCATCTCCTGTTTTATTCTCTCTGTCGCCTCTTACGACACCCACGGAATGATAACGGGTAGTGGATTTCCTTACATGACCACTACATAGCGGTAGTAAAGTTACAGCCTATATACCTCCCACTGCTGGGCACAGGCCTCCTCTCATTTCGGAGAGGGTTTAGAGCAAGGAAATGTCCGCTGCGCTGCCCCAATACTTGTTGACGAACTTCACATATCTTCGAAATATTTTTCTTTCTTATTTCTCAAACATGTCGGTTTCCTCACGATGTTTTCCTTCACCACCGAGCACCTGGTAACAGTGTCAATAATAACCCATCAAAAGTCCACTGCTGAACCCATAGATACCACGAAGCGACTTACCCATAGCCACCTGAATATCATTCTCCTGTAAGTTTGTTTCACCAGGTCAACATTTCACCTAATAGGGGATCGCCTATCGGATGACAGTTTCTTCTACTATGGCCGGCCCATGACTACTTCAGCCTACCGATCCGCTGAGCATGTCAGTTGTCTAACAAGTCTTTGTTCTTATGCGGATAAGCCTTGTTACCAACGTTTTCACGCAGAGAAACCACAAGGATATGCCTCCCTCATACATGCATTTTCCATCCATGCATGCTTCCTCTTGCCCGACTATAGGAGGTCCCAATCTTGTATAACCACCTCTAATATAAAACAAAGTCGTTTTCCAAAAAAAAAAAAATTAAAAATAGTAATATATACTTATTTTAGGATCAACGCACGATACACAGCACATGGATGGGTCGTATCGCTTCATACTACTATCTTTCACACAAGACAATGGCGCATTTCAGTTTGCATCTGAACGGGAATATGAACTTTGACGATTTGTTACGCGTCCTCGCCGACTCCGAGGAATATGCCACGTTGCCTGTAAGGCACAACGAAGATGTGCTCAATGGGTATGGATACGTGAAGGTCAAAATTAAAAATATTGTTTCAGAATTTTACGCTTTGACAGCTAGTTTTATGAAGTATAAACTTCTTTAGGCACGTTGGGCACTTTTGGGACAAAAAGAACTGAACTCACGCTATCGTCACGCTCAGATACATAAAATTGACGAAAGTAATGTTGAAAATCCAAGTGATTAAATTTTATCAAATTGATATATGTATTTATAAATTTGTTTGTATTATGTAGGTAATGATCATTCTTTCTCATGTAAAACAGCGAAATAAATGAAAATGATTACTATATTAATATGTTGATAAAAATAATTTTTAATAAAATTGCTTCCTAATAAAATATTTCTTAGCAACCCAAAAATAATGTTTACATGCCTGTGAAAGCTAAGAAGTTTTCATTTCTGACATGCAGTCCTACGACTGACAGTTTTTTTTTTCATAGAAGTAAGCTATAACTAGTTTTGTTAAAGAAGGAAGAGGAAATACTAACACTGTCAACTGTCGAGGACGAAGATCTTATAGCTCGTTACCAGTAAAAAGGGTCTATGGTACTTTACACTATTTTGCGCTTGTGTTCTGTACAAGCGTGGTGCTTCTCCGGTCGAGACAACCTATTCGTGCTGACAACATAATACAGATGCAGCGTTTAACTGCGGGATACTGAGTTAATATCCGCCTATAAATGTAATTTTTGCCGACTTCCAAAAAGGAGACGGTACTCAATTCGACTGTATGTTTTTTTATGTGTGTTACCTCATAACTTTTTACTGGGTGAACCGATTTTGATGATTCTTTTTTATTTGAAAGCTGGTACTTCTCGTGTGGTCCCATATGAATTTGATCAAGTTCAGACCAACAGTTTTTGAGTTATTCTTAATAACTTATATTGAAGTCGGCTGTACAAAATTTTAAACTTTTAACTATTTTTGGATTTTTATATGCAATTTATATGAAATTCCTATTTGTAAAATTTTATTGCTGACTTACACAGAATAATTTACTTTTTTAAACCTATTGTTACCGCCATATATAAGTTATACGTAAATTGAGATAATTATATCCACATTTTGACGTCATTTTCGCAACCGGCAACGCACAGTCTCCGTCAAAACGCACACGCAGGTGGACATGTGCCATGCCGTATCACGTTCGCAAAGTACAACGCACCGCTTATCACTTTAAATTATCATCTTAAAATCACTGCCGTGAACTATTTATGTAACTAGTGCAAGATAATTAGGAGGACACCACGCGAGAATCTACCTGAAGTGCAGGTACAGGCGTCCACCATGTACCGGTTGCTAATTCAAAACTTAATCTAATCCAATCCCACACCTATACAGTTCACTTTGCTTATAAAATTTAAATCGCCGCTCCACCTATATTTGTGTAAGCTATTGTATCTCAGCCTATTTTTTAATCTCTCAGAAAAGGTTTCTTTTCAAAATTAAGGGTATAAAGGGAGTAAAAACATGCTACCGGGTCATTAAAATTATACCTATAACTACTTTTAATGTTAAAATAAAGAACTACTCTAGTGTTCTATTAATACCCTCCATCTGGGGAATTGGAGTAAAACTGGCAACACTGTTCTTATATTCAGAATTTTTTTTAAAAATCTAATAATATTTTTTCCAGAGAACTATCGCAACAATGCCGCCTACCAGTGGACTCGCTTACATTAGACTCATCCAATGTAAAGGCATTCTTATTGTTGCAAGCCCATCTCACACGATTGCCTTTACCTAATACAGACTATCTGACTGACACCAAGTCTGTTCTAGATCAAACTATAAGGATAATTCAGGTGAGTCGTTTTCAAATGCATCTTCGTCATTATCCAGTTACAGTGCACTGCGAAACTCAATAAATATTTACTCAGGTTCTAGATGAAGCCTGTGCCATAAAGTGAGACCTAAGAACATAATTTACAATATAATTTTGCAGGCCATGATTGACACATCGGCAGAAAACGGCTGGCTGTCTGTTTGCCTGTCCTGCCAAATTCTAATGCAGTGTATAATTCAAGCCCGCTGGCCGTCGGACTCACCTCTCACAACTCTCCCACAAGTGGACTCCCAACATCTCTATATGTTCTCACACATGTCACGCGACACTAATAGGCCTTGCACAACTTTGAACGGCCTAAAGGTTACTTGCATGAGGAATTACGAACTTCTGGCCAAATATTTGAGGAGGGAGTTTGAAGAGAATCAGATTGAACAAATACATAGAGTAAGTTGATTGTTTTTTAATATCTACGAGTGTTCTTCTTGATTAACCATGTAGTGAAACGGAAGAAACTGAAAGAGGAGATGGGCATAGGCGTTTTCCTGATAACGACTCAAAATAATAAAAAACTGTGCTTGTCACCCTAGCGTGGTAACTGTGGCAAATCCCTTATGTGACAATCTATAGTGGAGGCTTATGGATCTCAGCTGTGGAATTTCATAGGCTATGAATATGAATGGATTACACTGCTTCGCCTTATGCACCACGTTTGCCAAATGGATTGCATCACCAGATTACTCTCATATTTGACGCTGCTTCTCATCGTATAGTTATTCCGTCTAGTATATTTTTATTTATATATTATATAATCATTGTTGCGTCTGTTAGTGATTGTGTAACTTCTGAACGACTTAACAAGACAAGTCGTTTCACACAATATATATATCAAGACGATGATTCATAGCTATCTAAGCTAGGATCCGATGTGCGGTTTTCCATACACCGGCACCGCACCGGCACATTGCCGGCGCCGGCTACGGCACGGCTGTCGGGGAAGCAAAAATGTATGAAATATATGCCATGTTTTTCCACTTACCGACGCCGTGATAGCAAGCTTCCCACTCGGCGCCGGCCGGCAACACTGCATGTGTCTTTGTACGTATTGCAGCCGTGTGCGTGTGTGTGTGTGTGTGTGTGTGTGCGGTCCGAAGTAGAAGGGACGCGTTGAGATTGAGACTCGAAATTGAGTTGTAAAATGATGAAATGTCTCCGCGTTCATGCGGAAGTAGTAGAAATATTTTGATAGTTCATTTCCAACTTTTAAAATAGTGTATAATATGTTCCTTCTAAGTATTTTATTTTTAAGATTGGTTGACTTCAAAATTTGACTTCCCTGCGTTGATTATATTTTCATCTTAAATGTAAGAGATATAAGAAATAAACACGACGACATGACGAGACCATTTTTACGTGCCGTAGAACTGAAGTCTGTGTTAGTACTACCCAAAAACCGAGCGTAGAACGGCACCGATACCGGCGCAGTGGAAAAACGAAGCCGTCGGCACCGGCACAGCGACGGCACCGGCACGTAAATAGAAAATGGAAAACCGCCCGATAGGTGGTGCTGTAGTCAAGTTAATAATAATTTTATATTTGCAGTCTGTTCGCTAAGATAGTGTCGGTACACCCGGAGGAGATCTTATTATTTTGCTTTTATTTTTGTGATGTATTTAAAGAGTGATAATATAATGATATAAGCGGGTAGGGAAAGAATTGTCAGTCTGCTTTGAGCGATTAAACTGCCTGCTACGTAATTCGTATTTTATTGTATATTTATTCCTAAACAGTACAATTTGGCGACGATATAGTAATTCACGCGTATTAAAGTTGTTTCGACTTACAGTGATATAAATTAAGTCGATTGGATAAAGATGGCAAATGGCGGAAACGTTAATATTGGCGGCAGTCTTATTTTCGACCACCGCGTACAGGAGTGGAATATATTCAAAAGTCGTTTTCAGCAGTACTGTACTGCGAATAACATCACCGAGGAATCGGATAAGTCTGGTGTGAAACGACGGGCCCTGTTACTAACTGCGCTGGTGGAAGATACGTATCGGGTGGCAAGAGATCTTGTCTTCCCAACTGAATTAGAAAACATAGAGTACAAAGTACTACTAGAAAAGTTAAGTGTACATTTTGTCACAAAAAAATGTTCATTTGCGGAGAGATACAAGTTTTATCGAGCAGAGCAGCGACCTGGCGAGGACTTGGCGGAGTGGGCCGCGCGGGTGCGCAGCCTGTCTCAGTACTGCGGCTTCACTTTTGAGCTGGAGACGGCAATGAGAGACCGTTTTGTCCTGGGTTTGGAAAACGTAAAGGAGAGAGAAAAGTTATTTGCTGAGAGTATCATGGACTTGACCTTTAGCAGGGCCCTGGAGCTGGCACAGAGTGTGCGGTGTGCGAGATTCGCTATGCAGAGCACTAGCGTCACCTCACAACTAGGCGTTCCCGCATCTTCTCAGGATGTGTTCGCGATGCATTCCCGTGGTGTAAACAAGTGCAGTGTTTGTGGTTACTCAAATCATAACAAAGATCAGTGTCGATTTTCGGGTTATTCATGTAAGAAGTGCCATAAAAAAGGGCATCTTCGTAGAATGTGTAAATCTTTAATTAAACCTAATAACTACATCGCGGCGAATGACGATGACATCGTTCAAGGTATTTATGATCTATTTACTATTAAGTGTAATAACGGCGAGCCGATGCGCCACATGGTTTTTATAGGTGAGACTGGCTTGGTTTGTGAAATTGATAGTGGTAGTGCAGTGTCGATATTACCATTTAGAGTTTATGAAAACTATTTTAAGAACATTTATAACCTAAATAAAAGCAAAGTAATACTAAATTGCTATAATGGTAGCAAAATTTCTCCTGTAGGTTTTATAACGGTACCCGTTACGTACGAGTCACGTATTGAACACATTAGGTTATTTATTATTCAAACAAATAATAAGCAACCAGCACTATTAGGGCGGGACTTTATAAGCGCTTTTAATTTACAGTTATGTACAGCGAATTGCAACAACCTGACCATCAACACAAATTATGACAGTATATTAAGAGAAAAATATGCCAAGCTATTTTCAAGTGAATTAGGAACATTTAATAAGTTTAAAATTCACTTAAAATTGAAATCCGACGCCGAGCTAAAATTTTTTAAACCACGTCCTGTACCTTTAGCTTTAAAACCTAAAGTGGAAAAAGAGTTGAATCGTTTACTAGACTTGGGTATCTTAGAAAAAGTGAATCACTCAAGGGTGGCCACGCCCATTGTCCCAGTTTTAAGATCAGACGGGGATATTAGAATATGTGGCGACTTTTCAGTAACATTGAATAAAGTTTTATTTATGGATAACTATCCGTTGCCGCGCATTGAGGACTTGTTTGCTAAACTTCACGGGGGAGAACAATTTTCGAAATTGGACCTTTCTAGAGCATACAATCAGTTGGTTTTAGATGACACGAAAGAATTAACCTGTATAAATACTCACAAAGGATTATTTAGGTACACCAGATTAGTGTTTGGTTTGTGTTCTGCGCCGAGCATTTTTCAACAAACTATGGAGAATTTACTTGCTGGTATAGAGGGTACGGGTATATTTCTTGATGATATTTTGGTTACGGGCCCCACAAAAGCAGTACATATGGAACGTCTAGAGCAAGTATTAAGTAGGTTACAGGATGCAGGGTTACGGTTAAAATCAGAGAAATGTGAACTATTTAAAGACTCTGTTGAATATTTAGGTTTTATTATCGATAAAACGGGTCTCCGAAAATCAAAACAGAAAGTAGATGCTATATTAAAATGCTGTAGACCTAAAAATGTAAGCGAGTTAAAGTCAGTTCTAGGCATGATTAATTATTATAGATGTTTTGTGCCGAATACATCTGCATTACTTAGGCCTTTGCATTCCTTACTTAAAAAGGGGGAAAAATGGAACTGGAGTAAGGAGCATGACAAGGCGTTCGAATTGATAAAAAAAGAACTAGCGTCTGACCGAGTGCTGGCTCACTACAGCGCGTCGCTGCCGACTATAGTGACGGCAGACGCGGGTCCGAGCGGTCTCGGCGCGGTGCTCGCGCAGCGTCAGCCTGACGGCACGGAACGCGTCGTAGCCTATGCCTCGCGTTCACTCACTCGGGCGGAATGCAATTACGCTCAAATCCAAAAGGAAGCCACCGCTATTATATTTGCAATAAAAAAATTCCACCATTATTTGTATGGCCGAACGGTACCGTTTATCCTAAGGACGGATCATAAGCCCTTACTAACCATTTTCGGAAACAAAAAGGGTATACCTGACATGGCGGCTAATCGGCTTCAACGGTATGCGATCTTTTTATCTGCCTATAATTTCACATTAGAGTATGTTAGAAGTGACAGCAATGTGGCTGATTTCTTATCGCGATCTGTAAATCAATTACAGAACGAAATTGATAATGAATGCTCGGATCTTGATAAAACATTGTATATTAATTTTATAGATAACTCAGTTTTAAAACCAATAACTGTGGAAGATATAAAAAAAGAAACATCCCGTGATAATCTTTTAATAAAAGTGTTAGAGTTTATGCGTAACGGATGGCCTCGGAAAGTGTCAGATCCCTTATTAAAGCCATATTTTAATTGTCGGTCAGAGTTAGCCCTAGAAAATGGTTGTATCCTGCGGGGCCACAAAGTAATCATACCGTCAATATTCCGCGAGCAGCTATTAAACGAACTACATTCTTCACACTTTGGCGTGGTAAAAACCAAAGAGCAGGCCAGAGCCCGGATGTGGTGGCCACATATAGATAGGCATATTGAGGAAAAAATAGGGTCGTGTTCAGTGTGTAATAAGTTTCGATGCGCACCTCCGCGCACACCTCTTGCTTCCTGGCCCTACCCGGCACAGGTATGGGATCGTTTGCATATAGACATTTTTTCGTTATATGGTAGGAACTTTTTAATTGCAGTCGACGCATATTCTAAGTGGGTAGAATGCTACCAACTTACTAGTACCAATAGTGAGGCTATTATTACTAAGCTATGTGAGATATTTAGTCGGTTTGGATTAGTAAAAACCATAGTATCGGATAATGCCACCAATTTTTGTTCTGATGAAATAAATAATTTTTTTGTTTCTAATGGAATACAACATTTGACTATCGCGCCTTATCACCCCCAATCAAATGGGCAAGCAGAAAATAGCGTTAAAACTGTAAAAAGAGGAATCAAATTAATTATAGAGGAAAATGGATTAAATAATCAAATTATTTCAAAAAAAATTAATAAATTTTTATTTGATTATAGGAACAGTCGGCATTGCACTACCGGTTTTTCTCCAGCTCAATTAATGTTAGGGCGCTCCTTGCGGTGTCGGCTCGACCTGTTATCAGTCACTACTGAATCGTTATCGCTGTCATCGACATCCGCCGTAAAAAAAAAAAATGTTTTGTCTCAACAGATCTCTCAATGTAAGCAGTATGGGGGCCGTCGTACAACTTCTTTTGCTATTGACGATAAAGTATTAGTTAAGTGTTTTTATAATAATGGTTCCAAGCATGTGTGGAAACTTGGAAGAATAGTTAAGAAAGTTGGCTCTAGAATGTATGTGGTAAAAATTGAAAAATCATGTAAAAGTTTAAAAAAACATATTGATCATCTAATAGCTTATAAAGGAAATTGTACATTACAAGATGACGTAAATACGGACATTTCTTATACTGATAATGACGTCATAGATTATTATACACCTTCTGGAACTGCTCGGGATACAGCGAAAGAACAAAATGTTCAAAATACCTTACAATGTACTCATTCTATGAACGATTCCTCGAGTAGCGATCTATTGCCCCCGGAATTAGAACTAGGGGAGGAGAGGATCGTTAGCGTTGGGCCGAGTGATACGGTTAGTGCGGTTGGTAATGTCTTGACAGACTCAGCTCTTCCAGAATCTGTTTCTGTACAGGCCACGTCCAACCAGGCTGTCACAGAGCATTCAAGGGGTGTCCGTTCTACTAGAAATAAGAATCCTATTTATAAAGTTTAGTTTACATTTTATTATATAATTCTGTACTATTGGTGGAGGGAACTGTGATGTATTTAAAGAGTGATAATATAATGATATAAGCGGGTAGGGAAAGAATTGTCAGTCTGCTTTGAGCGATTAAACTGCCTGCTACGTAATTCGTATTTTATTGTATATTTATTCCTAAACAGTACAATTTTATAATATTTTATTGTTTGTTAAATAAATGTTTCTCTAAAATAGAACACTATTCTTATGGTTATATAATAAAATACGAATATGAATAATAAAAACAAGTTAGGGAGTAAAGAACCTTTCACTACGGCGCTTCGTTTTAAAATGCTAAATTCTCCTTTGAGTGTACGCTACACTTTGATATCGCAGCGGCGCGTTTGACAAAATGCAGCACGTGCCAAGGCCGCACAACACAAAGGCGACTGTATCTAAGCGAACAGACTATACGATGTAAAAATCAGGAAAGGACAGAACAACATCTGCCGGAGCAGCTAGTATAAAATATAAACAATAAAAAGACCAACGAGCAAATAGTTCACTTGATATTAAATGGCTTGCATGCAAACACCTGCGGCCAACTTCAACAACAACAAACAATGTTTTTTTATAGAATTAAGGTTTATTCAAGAGAACATACAGCACATCTATCCTCGATCAAGAATCAAAATGCAGGTGCGCTCACCCCTGAGGGCTAAAATGGAATGCCTCATACAGTCTCCGCTTCTCTATATCTGTCCATATAAAATACAACAGCTTTTAGCTGCTGTTTTACACTGGTATTCTGTGAGAATGTAGTCGCTGGTTCTTCCCCAGTCAAGCCGACCAATTCGTGCTACAACCGTAATACAGCTGCAGCATGGCTCTACAACGTATAAGTTACACATAATCTACTATTCTATTTCTACCAAAAATAGAACTGTAGATCTACTGCTGCTTGGCGGTTGAAATAGATTAAATTTATCTGTCCAAATGTATTCCTAAGGAGACAAACAGTCCTACCACTAAGTTGCAAGAAAATATTTTTACAGGCTATTTGTGATCTTCCCACGCTTGACATAAAGTTCCAAATCCGCGGGCTTTGGTTCGACGGCGACTGTGAACAAGACAAACGAATACAACAGCCGCCTTCGAGAGACTCCTGGATGCCATTACACGCTGAACAGGTATAAATATACTGAACGGGTATGTACAGGAAATTAGGGCGTTAATAATTTCTTTATTGGTCGTAAGTTTAAATCGATTGACTTTAAAAAAATATATTATTTAAGTTTTTGATTACTGAATCACAGATGATAGGTTCTATCACAGTTATTAATAGTGCACTTACTCAATTGATCGGTTTACGATTGTCCCATGCCTCGGACTTTCGGAATCTTTACATCTTTCTCTTTATGGAGGGTAAATGCAATGAGGACTATCTCTGTTTATAAAAAATGTCCGTCGAAATGCATTACATTAGTGTGGCACTACAATAGCAGCAGGATAAATTGTAAAAAGTTTTATAACAGTTCACACTAAGAATTACTAAACATATGGAAGTTCACAAAAATAAAATCACTGTCCACGTTTTCTCACAGCAGTTATTTTAGGTTATATTTTTTTTTAATTTGGACTACGTCTACGTGAATAGTTAAAATTTTGTATACTGTACTGTAACTAACTACTCTAGTTCAAAATATATTTTTTTTAACTCTGCACGCTTCAATCCATCTACAACTGCTACATTCGTACCATACCCTGTATCTACGCTAGCGCCATTCTGGAAGGTTTTAAAACTATTATTTACTGCTTACAGCTGGAATTTTTCATCTTGTCCCCCATATGAGATAGTCCTTCTCACATCTACCCTCCATGTTTCTCTTATCTTTTAATATATTTATGCTATATATATATATATATATATATAATTTCTGGGAGGGTACTAGAGCAGTTAGTCCACCGCATTGCTCCAATGCGTGTTGGCAGACATCACATGTCCTTGAAATATTTTATTTCTCAGATATGCTGACTCTCATGAGGTTTTCAGTTTTCGCGTGGTAAATCGACATTAAAATTGCAATTAACAATTTAATTGATGCTGTCGTTAATCAAATTTGGAGTTCATTTGCAGTGTCAGTTGCATACTGTAAAATTTATGGCGAGTACTTAGCCCTTAAGCTGCCACTGCTTCAATATGTATGTAATGCATATCATAATATCTAATACTTTCTTAATTATTACCAGGTATATAATATATATAGCCTTTTCAAATAGACACGCAGCGTCGAGGTGGCAACCCTAACGATATTCTTTTTTTTTATATTATAAATATATCATGTGCTGCAGTATTCCAATGCATATTATAATATATTTTCCACTTTAATTATTACCAGGAGTACACACTTTTAATTGACATGCAGCGTCGAGGTGGCAATCCTAACAATGTACTCTGCCCGCGATTTCCGCGCGGGAAAAACGAGGGCTGGTTCATTACCCTCGGCACTGTAGAATATGGGGAACTGCACGCATTGAAACGCGTGCCCCCGAAGGGAACAGCTCAGGTCACATTCTACACACCAGCGCATAGAGGTGAGTTTACCTTAAATGATAATGTATTTGTGTAAATATAAAAAATTTACTTTTAATAAAAAGTAAAAGCAGACTCCAAAGAACTAAAAGTAATATAAAAAATTCCACACATTCGTTCCTGAAGTTGGTGTTAAGGCATATCAAAAGGAAAGCCCTGACTTCAGAAGCTATTATTTTTGAAAGGTAAAGAGTTCTGCAAACACACGTAAGGTCGTTGGCGCGGGGACAAGCCTTAAGAAGTTTCTTGGTGAGATCACACCACAGGCTCTGTAGCATTAGATTTTGTCTATTCTAATATCGATAAGTATACCAAATTACAAACCATTACCAGTAACCGATAATGAGGTTCCTTTGTAGAAATTGATCCTGACTGCAAAATAAGACTTTTCTATTCATTAACTTGCATTCCAAAATTTACCAGTAATTTTCAATGATTTGGCTGCAGCATCAGGTCATCTCGATCTATTAACCGCGCGCAGAAAGTTTGCCGATGACGTCATAACGTCACGTATACGGTTGACAAAAATACTTGTTGTTGTATAGTTATTGCAAATGCAATAAACCAATAAAAGAAAAATTATTAATAAGAAGACGTTGGAGTTGTAACTAAAATTTATAATAGGGAAACTTTTTGTTCACAACCTTTAAGGCGAGGTGAATAGACGAATTTTATGTATTTGAGGAGGTGAAGCAGATGAAGTAAGGAACGAGTAGTCCCGCCCACTGCGGGGTGCACCGCGTAAATCTCGCCGACGCTCGACGTAAAATGTACAATTGGTCCAGCGCGCCGCTATCCGCCTTCGCGCCGCGTTACCGCGATGACGGGTAGTTCGAATCCCATCAAACACATATTTTGTATTCGTATTTTTAAAATGTTTCCACTTTTATTTTCGTATCTAAAATATGAACATATTTTTGTTTTGTTATTCTAAAAATATTATGTACCTACATATTTCCGTGTTGTTATTTTTAAAATGTACATATTTAATTTTCTTAATTTTAAAATGATCAATAATTGTTATATTCTAGTCTAGCTTATCGAGAAATTTTGTAACAGTTTCATTAAATGAATAATAAATTAATTCGTAAAATAAAATGGCTTTGTACCAAAATGGTCAATCATAGAAATGGCCTATTCTTGAAAAGGCAAATTGTAAAAATTGTTAATTTATAAAAATTCGTTTTCGATTCGATTCGTTCGAGTTATTTTTCATTAAATATATTAATACTTACAAATATTTTATTTCAATCGATAAAATAAAAATAACAGTTCCACTTATTATTATATATTACATCACTGTTATTTATTTTATTAAGATTTGCTTATAAATAATACAGTTACAATTGCTAGAAATTCAATTCCAATGGCTATTTTATGATTTTTTTCTATCGAGAAAATTTACCGAAAACGTGTTTTGAAAACAATGGTCCACCCATAAATGTGATCAAGATTAACATATTTTTTTTGCAGTTCTAAAATGTATATACTTTGTTAAAAAACTGTTTTGTAAAGCCTAGTTTGACTATGTACAGCGCCTTAAAATATCTTTCGCCACCGCGATAGGCTTTCCCTTTACCCGTTTCATTCCAGTACTCGGCGACGTTTTCCTGAGAAATATTGGCACGGCCGGAATATAAAGCATCACCAGTGCTCTCGTCTGCATAGCAATGAATGTTACCGGATTTTTTTAAATTAATCTGAAAGATAGTACTAAATGAATGCTTTCAATTGAAAATATAGGCCTTATTTAACATTTTAAACATTGTGAACTGTCCTAGGCCGGCCACATACATATGGAATTCCGTTTCGGAATCCCAAATCGGGATTCCGTGAATACATCACACGCATACGTTTTTTTTCCGTTCGGAATAACTAGGGTCATTCAAGAGACGTTAGCCATTGAGTCTAGACGTTCTGCCAGCGAAAAATGACGACAATTGTCTAATTGCGATTCCATTGTTGCTGTATTATTCTTACTGCGTGCATCCCGTTATCACCCTAAGCTTGCTATATACTCAATATTATGTAAAAAGATCTACCCAGAGATATTTATTAAATATGGATGTCTGTAAATTCTTTCGACGAATTATTAAATAAAATAAGATGAAAGGTTACGAAAAGCTATACACCTATAAGATTAAATGTAAAAACATACATAAACACACCTACTCGCTTCGGTCGTGCGACGAACACTGAGCGCGTTCCGTACGGAATTTACTAAAGATGAGACGTATTTACGCTACCAGGTTTTAAAACCAGGTATTCACTTCAAAGTACGGCGCCCTGGTACGAGCAAAAAATACTTGCAAGTATGAAAATACTTGCATAGGAAAATCATCCATATCTCAATAGTAGTAAGGAACTCAATCGTATTTGTTAGCGAAAAATACTTAGAACTTAAAAGTATTTTTTTTTTATTTATACGACTTTGCTCCTTATTCATAGTAGGATAACATGGAATACGGGTGAAATTCCTATGCAAGTATTTTCAAATTTTGACACCACGGCTGGACACGTCCCTCGCGTCGCAATGAGACGTATTTACGCTACCAGGTTTTAACTTTAAAGTACGGCGCCCTTTTACGACCAAAAAATACTTGCAAGTATGAGAATACTTGCATAGGAAAATGATCCATATCTCAATAGTAATAAGAAACTCAATCGTATTTGTGAATTAAAAATACTTTGAACTTGAAAGTATTTTTTTTATTAATACGAATTTGCTCCTTAGTCATAATAGCCTAACATGGAAAGCGGGTCGAATTCCTATGCAAGTATTCTTCCTTATATATTACTATACTCTTTGCAAGTATTTTCAAACTGACACCGCGGCTGGACACGTCGCGTAAGTAGCTAGTAAGTAATAAGAATTATGTTTATATTCGGGGAAGTAAAAGTTTTGTTTCGATTTCTTGTAAATTCAATTATTATTGTGAACTGATTACGTAACCTACTGACCGTGACCTAATTTTTAAATAGTTATTTCGCGTGTATATTGAATTTAGAGACAGTTTTAAAACTTTTATTTATTAAGAGTCCTAAGCCGAAAAGTAGGAAGGAAAGATTTCATTTCGTTACCAAAAAAAATTTAAAAAGGTACAGTATAAATTTTGGCCCGAATTAAATTAGGCATTTATATATATATTGAAATTAACAAATACTTTCAAGTATTTTTAAAACCTGGTTTTCGACCCTGGTATTTTTCCATACTCGTACTTAGAAGCCCTGGTATTAAATTTTGCAAGTATGTCTCATCTCTATGAATTTACGTATGTGTGTTGCGACTCGTACAAAATCTATGAAAGACTTGCGTTCGGAGCGGCTTTTTTCCGTTCGGGATTCCGAATCGGAATATCGAAACGGAATTCCGTATGTATGTGGCGGGCCGTAGAAAGCATTACCTCACAGTGTTTTTATTTTAGAAAAGTATAGAAAATTCGAGTTTTCTACATTGAAATCCAACAATGAATCAATAACAAATGTACATTTTAGGACTGCTAATTATTATATCGCTTAGTTGGAAACATACTGTTTTCAATAACTCCATGTGCAAAACATGTATTTTCCATGTGAACAGAAATAATGTTGGTAGTTATTATATCAGCAGCATGTGAGCCGCCGTGTCTTCTTCTCTCACGCACGCCCTGCAAAAGGAAGTCTGTAACACCTATGATAGCACTAGTCAGTATCCGAATCTGGGGTTTCTTCGGTTGTATTAATACCTTGGAGTTGCGACCATTAATTACAGGGATGTCTTGCCTAGCCTGTCTTCAATCTTCATTTATTTAATACTGAGCATGTTGATCTACTGTGTTGTAATTCTCAGCTAAAATTTTCTTTTGTCTGAAGTTAGAGGTGCATAAAAACCACTCATGTTTTAATTTTTTATCTTTTGATAAAGCTTCTTAAATCAACAATATTTGTTATGAAATCTCAAAACATCAATTTATTTAATGTGACGAAACATTAGCCTTATTATTTTTACTTATTAGAGATCTAAGTAATTTTGTAAAAAGAAAATGTATAATTTGTTATGAAAGCTACAGTATGCATGGCAATATTTTTCAGAATTCACAAATTATTTTTCAATTATCAAATTTTTAATCAATAATACAATGTTTTCTTTTGTTAACAGGCCGCATCATCTATACAGTGTATATATTTAGTGACAGTTATTTGGGACTCGATCAACAGTATGACTTACAGTTTGAGCTTATGGATCCACTGCCACCAGAAAAAGTAGATGTTATTTATGAACCGGTTGAAAAGATTATAACAGAATGAACATATTTACAAATAAATTCTTACCCTTGTTGTAATTTGTTTTATTAACAATATTCACACATATTTATGACAGAATGTTATTTCAGACTAGTATCATAATACAATACAATACAAACACTCACGCCTGTCACCCAGAGGGGTAGGCAGAGACTACGGACTTCCATTTGGCGCGATCCTGACACACCTCTCTCGCTTCCTTTACATCCATATATTTACGCATACACGCTCGTCGGTTAAGGGTACTCCTAATCTGGCCCATTTTCAATGTATCGCCGATTTGGTCGCTAAACCTTCGTCTAGGGCGTCCCTTCCCGACCCTGCCGTTCACTTCTGCAACATAAATTTGCTTTGTCACTCCTTCCTCGTTCATTCTTTCTACATGACCAAACCACCGAAGCATTCCTTTCTTAATCCTTGTCACAACGACATCTTGCAAACCACACTTTTCTCTTATCACACTATTTCTAACCCTGTCATTCAGATTATATTTATATAATATATTATATATTTATATTATATATATATATATATATATATATATATATATATATATATATATATATATATATAATATTGACAAATATATTTATAAGTCAATATCTATCTACAAAAGTTTACAATTCTTAAAAACCTAATTCTTTAAACATCTTTATAATATGATTTTTTTTAATTGCTAAGCCTTTAACAATATTTTTTATGCCAAGATTTGTAATATATACAAATCATTCATAAGCTTATCAGTCATCATAAAAAACTACTTTTGATTATGTATTTAATATTGATATAGATTTGTAATGTGCATGTAAAACAGGCACTAGCGATCAAGCGAATTGTGAGAAGTGAACACTAGAAACAAACTGACTGAATGTACTATTTAATTTTAACGCTACTTAAGCTTACGCTTACATATCCTTATAAAAAGCTTACATTAGATATTATGAATTAACTAATGAAGGTCGTCTCCTAAGAGCTAGCTTAGATATCTGTGTATTGGTTCAATAACAAATATCTTGCACTTGATTGATGATTGCAAGTTAAAACTGATTGTTATCTTATTATTTACGTTATTTGATCTAGTGGTTCATTGTTAAATCTATACAAATATATTTGCAATGTCAAAATAACTACATACTAATACAAGCATAATGATGTACTTAAAAAAAACTTTTAAATTATTTTCTCTTTGTGCTGGCTAATCTCTGAAATGACTAGACCGATTTTGACGGGAGTTTCACTGACAGATACCTGATGTTATAAGGAGTAACTTGGGATACTTTTATTTTAGAAATACAATTAGGGTATTTCACAAAAAAAAACCATGAAATCTAAGTGTAATAAATCCCATGTGGACAAAGTCACAGGGAATAGCTAGTCTCCAATATATTGCAAACTTAGTTTGATCAGAGTTAATATGACATCTAGCCTGTATATACACTACCATTTAATTAGATGCCTGAAATAATGCAGCCAAATCACTTAAGTAAATAACAAACAAGTGGGGTAATGTAGCATCATTACACAAATTTATTTCTGTTTTCAGGGGTGATCAACCCAAATATCAAATATCATAATAAGACATTATAATTAAAGGTTAGGCAAATAGTTGAATGTGGCTGTTCAACTAACAAACTAGCCATCCAATAAACTGGCTAATTAATCATAGTGTGACAGATTCATTATACATGTATCAAATATCTAAAGCCAGCTCTTAAGAAAATATCTAAACACAGTCGCACACATACACTTTATGATAACATAATATAACATTGATATATGTACATTATGTACACCAGAAAATCTAGTCAGATAGATAAACATACATAAGACATCAGAGTATTCTTAAATAAAATACAAATTTCAATCCTTAGTTCAATTTGATAGATTTTTCTTTATTAATATGTTATAATATAATATTCAACAGTTGTAGCATTCATGATGAAAATTGTGAATTATACACAAAAACTGTTTTATAAAATAAAATAAAAAATCATATATTATTGTGGAATGTGATAACACTCAAACAATATCAAATATTGTTGGAGTGTCAACATTATGTTATTTTTTTTTACGCTGCTCATACTCAATGGCTCGTGCTTCAGATATGATCTGCCTCTCTCTATTCAGAATTCCATCTAATTGCTCTGTGAATGCATCAAATGAGAATTTGGTCTCAAATCTCTTTCTGCCTGCCTCACCAAGTTTGTCTACTAACTCTGGGGCCCATATGAGCTTACTCATAGCTCTGGCAAACGATTCACTATTCGGTTCACACAAAAATCCAGTAACATCATTTACTATTGTTTCTGTAGGACCACCACTGTTAACCGCAATGACTGGCTTTTTGTAATACATAGCTTCTAAAGGCACTATACCAAAATGTTCATTAGAAGGAGTATAAACAAGAGCTTTGCAATGGTAAAGAAGTGAGACTTTTTCTGTATCTTTAGGTGATTTCATAAATGTAACTTTGTCTTCTATGTCCAATTCGGCTGCTAAGTCAGTTAATTCAATATAGTGCTCCATATTCTCCAAATTAATTGGATCAAATCCACCAGCCATTATCAAATGAACTCTATTCCAATCAGATTCACTTAAAATTTGTTTTAAGTGCTCCAATGCCCTTAATGCTAACTGTAGATTCTTCTTTCTTTCATATCTATTTATTGATAGAAATATAAACTTATCTAATCCCACTGGAACAACTTCTTTCAAAGGCTTAGGTACTGTAGTATTGAAAAATTCAGTATTGATTGAAGGATAACAAATATCAGGGATATCTTTTATTTTTTGAAATGCATCCTGATAAACTCTAGCTGTGTACTTGCTGTTCACTAAAACTTTATCAGCACAAGCAGTTGTAAGTTCCTCTAGCCAATTAAGCGGAGCTCTATATATTTTTTTTAAAAATCCACCTTCTGAAGTTAACAACTTATCTGGGTGATGACAATAAAAAACTACTCTAAAAGGTCCTCTCGCCATTTTCAAAAAAGGTATACATAACGATATGAGATCACAAAATATAATAGTAGGTTCTTCAACAGGAATAACATACCAAGCCAAATAAACTGCAGCATATACCATACGGACGTAAGCACACGCCGCTTTAAACCTACCAAAAATTGAACGCGGAATCCAATCGCCTACAACTGTTACAGGAAATGTACCATTCCTAGTCTCTGCAAAACAGTGTGTAGGATCGTGATGATTGGTATAGAAAGCTACTTCATGTCCTTTACGTTTGAAGGCTAATGCGGCATCCAAAACAAGACGTTCAGCACCTCCGATACCCAAATCCGGGTGAAGAAATAATATTTTAACCATGTTAAATGCAATTTACGTTATAAGTTTTTGATCAAAAATAAAAAATTGTAACTGTGCCCAGAATAATTAATTAAAATTTTCGTTTCCACACAGCAAAATAGAATAGTAAAGTATATGAAAATTTTTACGTCAGTCAGCTTCAGCTAGGGATGTGAAAAAATAATCGATTGTGATATTAATCGATTATTTTTTTAATAATCGATTTTAAAAAGTAGGTTTTTTGATAATAAAAATCGATTTTTAATAAATCGATTATGTAAATTACGTTTTAATCGATTTTTGTAATCAGAGTAATCTGTGTGATAGATGTAAAAACGAGAAGTTCAATATCATGAATAAGTCGATGAAAAGAACAGCGTCATCTGTGCGACAAATGAAAAAACGCGAAGTAAGTTCACTAACATGAACAAGTCATCAAAAGACGGCGCCACCTGTATGCATCTCTATGTATGTAAAACAGTTTCGCCTTTCGTATGTTTCAAACAGTTTTCTTTCTCCGCTTGGAGTAAAAGTATTCTGTGGTTTTCTTTGTTTCTTTAGAAAGTGTAAATAATTGTTAAACAATAAAAATGTCTTGTAAAATGGCTAAAAGTGGTTGACGGATGTATTTTATAATGAAAAAATAATAGCGGCCAACACGTCAATAGGCAAAAATACTGAATTGGACCTATATATTGCGGTATCACTATCAAATCTTAAGGCAGATGCCCTCAATCCATGGAGCTCTGAAGAAACTTTCCCTAAACTAACCGAATTGGTTCTAAAACACGTCTTTGTGATGGCCAGTTCCGTGACAGCCGAAAGATTATTTTCGAAAGCGGGAAATATTGTCAGGTAAAAACGTAACTGTATTTTACAAAACAGACGAAGAAGAATGTTGGTAAAATTATTGTTTTTAAACTCTTTAAATGAAAATTTATGGAAATAATTTTTTTACTTTTTTTGTTTACAAAAGTTTGAAAAAAGATTTATTTTGTATATTAGTTTTGAGACCAAAAGGTTTGATTATTTAAATTTATAGATTTATTTTATTTTCATTCTAATCCAATGTCAATGAAACTGAACATTTGTGGCAATAATGATATTTAGATTTTTTGTTTGTTCAAACTTACTTAAAAATAACTATCGTTTACTAAACTTAAACGTTTCTTTTTATCTAATAAATTGTTAAATGACATGTATATAGTAGCAGTAATTATTTTTAGTTTTTTATTGTTAAAAGCTATAGGTTAAAAAAATTGTTTTGTGGTTTAGTATTGAAACCAGAAGATTGGGCGTTCTGATTATTTTTTATACTTATCATTTTATTTGATTTATATTCTGATAAATTGTTAATGTAATACTAATATCGTAGTTTTATTAATATATTATAGGAAAGCAGGCATTTATTTCGAATAAAAGAATTTTTTCCGCAAAAATCGATTTTTTCTAAATCGATTAATATTACAAAGGAAATAATCGATTTTTATTAATCGATTTTTTCACACAATGTCACATCCGTACAGTCAAGTCAGCACTAGGGATGTTCGATGATCATTGACGTTAAAAATTAAATCGATGTCAATGAACCCATAATCGATTATTAGGAACTTGCGAACAATGCGAACCTGCGAAATCAATATCAACTAAATCTTGCATCTCCTCTGAAGATTTAAAATTTTGAATAATTCAGAATTCCTGAACGCATCGCTTACCTAAAAAGATATCATTATGGTGGGTCAAACTTAATTGTCAAGTGTCGCCTGTAATGTCACAGTGGTCACTGCTTTTGCTTTATTTTATAGTGTCGTTGTCGGTTGTCGTATTCTACGTAAATTGATATTCAAGTTAACTGTTAATTTGCCCTTGCTGTGTATACCCACATAATTTTGATACAATATGTAAGTATCTACACATATACAAAAAACATCGATAATGTACAACATCGATGTTTTGAGTAGGCTGAACATCGAACATCGATGTTGAGCTATCGATGTCATCATCGATGTTTCTGCAACATCGACATCCCTAGTCAGCACCTTTTAGCTGTCAGTAAGTCAGTGTTAGTGTCAAACTGTCAAACTCAGTGTCAAACTTTCAGCTTAGAATAAAAAGGAGACGTTTTTAAGACCTTTAATTTTATCTTATCAATATTTCTATTTTAATAAAATTTAGTCTATATCTCTCCTGGTATAACTCTCTATTTGTTCGTAAAGTTTTATTACAATCGGTTCAGCCATTCCGAAGATTAGCTCTGACATGCAGACAAAAATTTTAAAAATTGTTACTCATCTCTTAAATCATCATAATTATAATCTTTCATAAGTCCACTGCTGAACATAGGCCTTCCCCAAGGAATGCCACAAAGCATGGTCCTGAGCCACCTGCATCCATCGACTTATCAAAGAAAATTAGATTTGAAGGTATCATGCACAAATACTGAAACGTCACTCAAACATTTGAGCAGCTCCTATTCCTTTCAGTATTCGAGCATCAACATCAATGACCTAAAAAAAGAGGTCTTTCTTTGAGCTATATTACATATATATAGCATTTATAGGCTAACTGACAATTCAGAAGGCGATCTTAGGCTACATTACTTTCCTGCCGGGGCTGCGGGCTCTTCGAAAGAGATACCGCGGCTCCGGAACGTAAGGGCACTGAAGGAACACGGATGGTTTTTAGTCAGTAAAAGTCTGACACTCCCTTCCGCTCCACCCACAGCGAAAGGCGTCATTAGATGATTTTCCATCCGCAAAAAAAAAAAAAAAAAAGGCTACATTACTTTATTATTTAGGCAACTTTTTTTATTTTTGGCGACTCGGAACGGTCTAGACTTGGCAACACTGTTCATACATTTACTTTTACTATGGAAGTCCCGCCTCTTAAACGTATGTATATATTCTCTTTGTTTTTTACTTTTTATTTTTCTTTTTCTTAATGTCCTATATGTACTATATTGTATAATTATATTAAAATCAGCCAGATACAAACAGTATAACCAGAGATTTTTCTTCAATTTTATACAAACAAAATATGAATAAACTTTTTCTCCGACCTATTATAGTGAGTTTAGAGAACCGGCGACCCTTTTTACTGGTTATGAGGCATTCCATCTTAGTTCTCAGGGGTGACAATTTATCTGCATTTTGATTCTTAATCAAGGAACCATGTAGATGTATATGGAACATAGTACTCACTTATCATTAGATGGACTGTGTAATCGCTTGCCCTTATCTTATAAAAAAAGTTTAGGTTGATGACAAATTTCAAATTCAAATTCATTTATTTGCATAATACAGGTATAAAAGGTGTTACAGAAAATTATAATATGTACATTGTACCTTATGAGGTGTGCAAATACAATAAATGTTTTGTCTTAAAGACATACAAATATAATTGAGTGTTCTTTTGAAAAATCATGCCATAAGATAAAATAGAATAGAAATAATTGAAATTGGCATACTAATGAAAATTCTACATTTATAAAATTAAATTGATTACAATAACAAAAAATGATAATATTCAATAAAAATTACTAGTCAAAATTGTCATTCAAGAACTCATCAATTTTATAGTAACATTTGTTTATTAATAAGTCATTTAGCACCTTTTTAAATTTAAATAAGGTCATATTTTTTATTGAATCAGGTAGTTTATTATAAATTTGTGGGGCAATACCAAAGAAGCTTTTTTTCATTAATGATGTTTTACATTTTATGTAACATAACCTATTTATGTAGTGGGTACGTATTGGATTCTTTCTAATATCAGATATTTTTTGGAAAAGAAATGGATGCTTTTTTACAAAAATGGTACGACTTTCCATTGACGTCAGTGGAGTTTGGTGTTGATACGTATTTTTACAGAAAGATTACACTATTATAAGCACACACACAAAGTCTCAATATACGGAAACGCGTAATTTTTGAGAAAAGAATAATAGAAAATCAATTATTCTTGCAATGTTTATGTCTAATCTGCTAATAAACATAGACTAATATATAATACCTAATAAACTGGCGCCATTTTGTAATGTCATTGTCGACGTCAATAGGGATGTCGATTCTTTCCGAAAAAGGTCGATTTTTAAATTGATTCAAATCGTAAGCTGATGTATCGATTCCTAAAAAATCGATTTCTAAAATATCGATATTTTTTTCATGTTTGCATTTATAATGTAAATATAAATCCATTTTATGAGAAAAAAATCCCCTTCATCATAAAAAAATAAGGGGACTGATTCATAAGGATTTCTGTATATATTTTGAGACTGCTACGTCTCCGGCGCTGCGGGAAGAGCAACCTCTACGCCTTAGCGTAACAAATCGCAGGCATCGCTCCTCGCCTCAGCAGCTTCGGCTTGTTGGTCGCCTTTGGCGACCAGCCTCAGCCGCTCCGGCTCGTCCGATGCCTACGATTTGTTACAGCAGGCGGAGACGTCGACAATGACATTACCATGGACCTAGAAACTTTTTTTCTAGGTCCATGGACATTACAAAATGGCGCCAGTTTATTAGCAAATTAGACGTAAACATTGCAAGAATAATTGATTTTCAATTATTCTTTTCTCAAAAATTACGCGTTTCCGTATATTGAGACATTGTGTGTGTGCTTATAATAGTGTAATCTTTCTGTAAAAATACGTATCAACACCAAACTCCACTGACGTCAATGGAAAGCTAAGCCGAAGACGGTCCCAAGAAAATGATGCCATATCGTAAAGCGGAAGCAACTAGTCCATGGTATGCTATCAAAAGAGCCTGGCTGTTAACCTTTTTTGAAAGTTGAAAGCGCATATGCGGATTTGCTGAGTCGTTTGCATAGATCCTCAACATGAGGCTTCCAAGTGAGATGATTATCAATCACTATACCTAATGACGACTGCGGCATATGAAATAGAAAGGCAACAATCCTTCAATATACTTACAAATTATTGCATTTTTTTACCGATGATGAGGCAAACGAGCATGCGGCACGCCTGATGGTAAGTGATCACCGTCGCCCATGTACATCCGCAA